TTTTACTCCTTTGTATTTCTGTGGTATCAGTTGTCACTTCTCTTTTATTTCTGATTTTATTTGTTTGAGTCTTCTCTCTTTTTTTATTAATGAGTCTAGTTAATGTTTTATCAATTTTGCTTATCTTTTCAAAGAATTAGCTTTGGTTTTATCGATTTTTTTTTTGTATTTTCTTTAGACTTTATTTTGTTTATATCTCTTCTGATCTTCATTATTTTTTTCCTTCTATTCTCTTTGGGCTTTGTTTGCTGTTCTTTTTCTCGCTCTTTTAAGTGTAAGATTAGATTGTTTATTTGAGCTTTTCCTTGTTTCTTGAGGTAGGCTTGTATTGCTATGAATTTCCCTCTTAGGACTGCTTTCACTCTGTCCCATAGATTTTGAGTCATTGTGTTTTCATTTTCATTTGTCTCTATCTTTTGATTTCTCCCTTAATCTCATTAATAACCAATTCATTGTTTAGTAGTATGTTATTTAGCCTCCATGTGTTTGTATATTTTCCAGTTTTCTTTCTTGTAGTCGATCTCTAGTTTCATACCATTGTGATTGGAGAAGACAGTTGATATGATTTTAATCATCTTAAATTTATTAAGACTTGTTTTGTGTATTAACATGTGGTCTATCCTAGAAAATGTTCCATGTGCTCTTGGGAATGTATATTTTGCTGCTTTGGGGGAAAATGTTCTGAAAAGATCTAGTAAATCCATCTGGTCTAGTGTGTCTTTTGGGCCCACTGTTTCCTTTTTGATTCTTTGCCTGGAAGATCTGTCCATTGGTGTCAATGGGGGGTTACAGTCTCCTACTATGTGTGTATTACTATTAATCTCTCCTTTTATGTCAATAATTCCTTTATGTACGTAGGTGCTCCTATGTCGGGCGTGTATATGTTTACTAGGGTTATGTCCTCTTGATTTATCAATCCCTTTATCATTATATAATGCCCTTTTTTTTGTCTCCTATTGTAGCCTTTGTTTCAAAGTCTATTTTATGGGATATAAGTACTGCTACCCCGGCTTTTAAAATTTCCATTTGTAGTCTATGGCCATGCTACCCGGAACATGCCCAATCCCGTCTGATCTCGGAAGCTAAGCTGGGTTGGGCTTGGTTAGTACTTGGATGGGAGACCACCTAGGAAGACCAGGTGTTGCAGGCATAAAAAAATAAAATAAAATAAAATAAAAATAAATAAAATTTCCATTTGTGTGAAATATCTTTTTCTATCCCTTTACTTTCAGTATGTGAGTGTCATTCAATCTGAAGTGAGTCTCTTGTAGACAGCATATTCACGGGTCTTGTTTTCTTATCCATTCGGTTGCCCTATGTCTTTTGATTGGAGCATTTAATCCATTTACATTTAAAGTGATTACTAAAAGGTACATTGTTACTCTCATTTTATTATTCATATTTGTTATTTCTATTTTCTTTTTTAATCCTTCTCTTTATGCATAAGACCCTTTAACATTTCTTGTAATGCTGGCTTGTTAGTGATGAATTCTTTAAGCTTTTTTTTCTGTCCAGGAAGCTCTTTATCTCACCTTCCATTTTAATCAAAAGCCTTGCTGGGTAGAGTATCCATGGTTATAGATTCTTGTTTTTCATAACTTTGAATATTTCTTGACATTCCCTTCTGGCCTGCAAAGTTTCCATTGAAAAGGCAGCAGGCATTCTTATGGTGGTATCCTTGTAAGTAACTAGCTGACTTTCTCTTGCTGCTTGTAAGATTCTCTCTTTGTCTTTGACCATTGGCGTTTTAATGATGATGTGTCTTGGTGTATGTCTGTTTGAATTCCTCTTGTTTGGAACGCTTTGTGATTCCTGAACTTTATCTCACCTTCCATTTTAATCAAAAGCCTTGCTGGGTAGAGTATCCATGGTTATAGATTCTTGTTTTTCATAACTTTGAATATTTCTTGACATTCCCTTCTGGCCTGCAAAGTTTCCATTGAAAAGGCAGCAGGCATTCTTATGGTGGTATCCTTGTAAGTAACTAGCTGACTTTCTCTTGCTGCTTGTAAGATTCTCTCTTTGTCTTTGACCATTGGCGTTTTAATGATGATGTGTCTTGGTGTATGTCTGTTTGAATTCCTCTTGTTTGGAACGCTTTGTGCTTCCTGAACTTGTATGTCTAATTCCTTTGCTGGGTTAAGAAAGTTTTCTGTCATTATGTCTTCAAAGAGATTCTCAATCCCTTGCTCTTTCTCTTCCTCTTCAGGTACTCCTATGAATTGGATGTTTTTATGTTTCATGTTGTCCCAGAGGTCTCTTAAACTATTCTCATTTTTTTCCAATTCTTTCTTTTTGTTGTTCTTATTGGATGTATTCAGCTACCTTGTCTTCCAATTAGCTGATTTGATCTTCCTTTCCATCCAATCTACTGTTGAATTCTTCTAATGTATTCTTCATTTCAGTTATTGTATTCCTCATTTCTGTCTGGTTCTTTTTTATGATTTATATGTCCTTTTTAATGCTTACTATCTCTCTGTTAAGGTTCTCATTGTACTCATCTATTCTCCCCATAAGTTCGTTCAGCATCCTTATAACTGTTATTCTGAACTCTCTCTGGTAGGTCGCTTGCCTCCATTTCATTTAGCTTATTTTCTAGAGTTCTCTCTTGTTTCATCTGTGGCATGTTTCTTTGTTTTCTCATCTTATTAATCTCTTTGTGTTCATTTCTATGTGTCAGGAATATCTGTTTTGTCTCTCAGCCTTGGTCAGATGATCTAATGTGGAAGGTGTCCTGGGTGGCCCAGTGGCACACTCTCCCTGATCCCTTGCACTGGGAGCTCTGGACATGACCTTTGTGTGGGTTGTGTGTGATCTTCTATTGTCGCCAAGCCTTTGTTGTTATTAGTAGATCAGTGGGTGTGATTAACATTCAGGCTGTCTAATTGTAGGAATAGGCAGCACCCTCAAGGTAAGAGTTGTGTGGAGGCTGACCTCTCTGAGTGGGATTTGCCCTAGCAGGCTTTGTACTTGTTGTAACCACCCTTTGTGTGTATCACTACTGGAACTAGTCAGGAGTTGCTCCGTGGTGGTCTGGTGCCAGCCTCCAGATGCTTTGGTTTTGTGGCCACTTGGAAGGGGCTCCCGTGTAGGCCAAGGTCAGCCGCTGCTTTTGATTGCTCAGGACTACCCAGTGAGAACTGCAAAGCTATTCACTGATGGTTGTTGCCTATTCTGGATCTCTGAAATGTGGCTCACAATGCTGGTCGCCCGCTGGGAATGGAAATGTAGCTTACTGTGCTGACTACTGTTGCCAGGATTGGAAATGCTGCTCACAGCGATGGTCACCCACTGTGAATACTTGGCCCTGAATCACTCAGAGCGGGGCTTGGCAACCATCCAGCAGCAACTGCCCAGACCAGTCTGCAGGTTGGGTGGGGCGGGGTCTCAGAGAGCCAATGGCAGTCAGATCGATACAGTCTCAGTCTTGCTGCAAATTTGGTAACTGTTGTGAGTTCCCGCAGAAGACCCAGATCACAGCAAGACCAGCTGCTGTCTGGGACTAGCCCACAGGTCCTCAATATCTGTCAATTCAAGACTTTATTGGGATCAGTAATAACAGTAGTACTACATTATTTTCTGGGCAGAATGAGATAAAGATATAAATAAAAACAAGAGTGTGATTAAAAAGAGAATGATATAAAAAATAAAAATACACACCACCATAAGGAGATGAGGTATTCTTAATAATGGATAAAAACACTTTTAGATTGTTTAATTTCAAAGAGTAAAGATGAAATAGGCAAAGGAACCATTAAGGGGCACTTGAAATAGGCTTTTGAGTCAAAAGTTTAAGTTCCTTGTGAACAAGGGTTCTCTTATTCATCTATGTGCTTCTGAAACACGTAAAACATAGTGGGGCTTCAGAAAAAAAAAAACCTGTTTAATTGAATGATGTCCTGTGTTGTCATAGCAAGATCAACTCTCAAGCTTCATCTCATACAAATAAAATGAAAACTTTTCCATATTATCTATTTAAGTAGTGAACCATATTCAGAAAGGAAGTATGTTATTTAGTATACTAGTGGCCATCAATAGTCAGTCCAAAGGCCTGGGATGCCCATGTACTTAACATTTACAAATACAAGGTTGGTTACTCACCTCCTTAACTTCTTTTAGAAGTTCAAGAGCACAAGTGAAGTCAGGGGGAGTACTTGATAGTTGCTCTTTCAGATGGTTCCAAAAAGCATTGTACATTGTCTCAAAAAACCTGCCTTCCAGACTATAAGAAGGTTAAATGAGGAAATTGCTCTTTACCCAAAGAATTGATGTAGGATCATAATCTCCTAAATCCCAAACAGCATTTAAGATCATGAAAGACCATTAAATTTATAGGCCAAGAGCTATATTTAGACTTGAGCAGAGTTGAACTAAGTTCAGTCTCAGACACAAAGGTATTGGCCAAACCCCCTCAGAAGAGTATCTCATGGTTCCAGCAAAGCTTTCTTCCTGCAAGTAGGAACCATGAACTAGGGTTTGAGCCCCTGAGTGCTAGCCCTGGTTCTTCATCTAACCTAAATTAGGTTCCATATCCAGACATATGCCTTTGAACTAGATGATCTTTTTCTTTCAGTCTCAAAATCCAGGAAATAATTTTCTTTCTTGATATGACTTTTTGGTCTTACATGCACCTCAAACTCAGCAAGCCAAAAATTGAACTCATTATCTCCCCTTTTCAAACCTGTTTCTTGTTCATGCAAACCAGAAAGCCTAGCCTTTTCTCCTTAAAAAATACAATATTAATTCATGCATTTTGTTAAAAATTTTACAAACAATACACAGATAACTGAACAAAGTTGAAGTTCCTCCCCCAACACAACAATACCACTTGTGAGATGTTACTATTATTTACCTGGTGTGTACTAGAGTCCTTCTTAACTACTTTTACCTCATCTTTATTATCCACTTGGTCACCAAATTCCAGAGATTTTGCTTCCTAAATATCTCTAGAATCCATCCCCATCTACCATCATCTCCTAACTAGACTATTTCAATAGTCTATTAAATGGCCTTCCTGCTCCAACAAAGTCTTACTCACACAATGCCACATATCTTTGTTTGAATCAATGATTTTTCTAAGATACAAATCTGATCATGATGGCATGCTCATTTAAACTCCTTTAGGGGCTCTCCATCACTAGCAGGATACATGACCCTTCACGATCCTATTCCACCACCTCTCTTACCTTATCGCGTTCCTCCTTCTAACACTCTATGTTACAACAATAACAATCTACTTAAAATGAATATATAATCGTATTCCACTATTCTATGCCTCTGCATATCATGTCCACTTTCAGGAGAATTTTTCCCCCCCAAACCACCTGAAAAGTACCCATTTATACTCTAAGACTCAACTCAAGCATTACTTTATCAAGAAAGTCTTCCTTGATCCTCCTGAGGCAGCTGAGCATGAATATAGAACTCCATATACTAGATGCGACAGAACTTATCACTGCTCAGTAACTATTTATTATTTTACCATCTCCCCTATAGAAGCTTCTTAATGGCAAAGCCAGCATCTTACTCATCTATATGTCCCTAGCACTCAACATTCTACCTATCACCTAGTAAGTATTCAATTAATGTTTGTTAAATAAATATCTGGCAATGAGATCTCCCTTAGGAATCTATAACTGTAATTAGTATCATTTTATAAACCCAAAAGTAAAATCAATAATCAATTATCTATAGATAATAGATAACCCCAAATTCTATTTCAACCTCTTTTCCAGCATACATTGTGCATTACTACACTAGAATAAGACTTTTAATATCAAAGCAATGAAAATTAAGCTTTAGATAGTATTATTCCCTCTGCTTCCTTTGCCCACCCCTCATCACTATCATGACCCCTCAGCCACTTTAACAGACCTTCAACTCTCCTAGTTTTACTTTCTCTGGAACCCTGATAGCATGAAAATAAATCTAATTCAGGCTCCAGGGACAGTGAAGGCAGCAAAGAAGATGCTAGAAGACCTGTGTTTTGGTGAAAACTTAATTCAGGAAAGTTATGCCTGGCTTGAGTACCTGTTGACAGCAAGCAAGGACAAACTGAGGAGTGTGAAAGTCAAGAGAAGCACTGACAAAGCAAGGGGCTTTAATAATAGAATCCCAAAAGTGGCAAAATAACAGAAGCATTTAAGGTGGGAAATTAGAAATGCCATACAATGTAGATTCCAACAAAGAAATTTACCTTTTAACTATTTTTTAAAAAAACATTAGAAGCATTCAATACATACTAAATGACTCTTATTTATGTATTGTAATATCAATATAAGAAGAATCAAAATAAAGACTGATTTTATAGGGGTATTATCAATGAGGTTCTGATCTTGGTTTACAAAATCTTTATTGAGCTGGCTATGAAGCAGAAATGTTCCCTGAAATCTCTTATCCCATATAAAGAGTTGGCAATACCACTATTAAAAAAGTAATCTTTTTATTTGTACTTGTTTAATCTGTAGACAATTAAAGGAATAACTGCTAGAAGCTACTTCCTCCAAGAATGTCTGAGAAGATCTGAAATTCACTCTATGCTTTATTGTTAACTGAGAAACCAAAATGATGATAGGAATTGCATTGCTTTATTCCTTATATAAATATATTTTTTTCTGATTTGACTCTTTGAAACTAATAATTACACCGATTACTCCTCTGTTTTATTTTTTGGTACTGTTTAAGACATACTCAAATATTAATTGTATTAATAAAAATGCTTCAAACCTGATCAAAAGTCATTTGTACTATGTACCAATGCCAGGGGGAATAAAATGAAAAACAAACAAACAAACAAACAAACAAAAAAACAAAAACAAAAACAAAACCCAGAAAAGTCCATACCTGTTGGGTGGTAAAACACTCTCTTCCATACAGAAATCTTGGTTTACCACAATTTCATGAGCAATGCTAAGCTTAGAAACTTTGTTAACAGTCTCTATCAGATCTGCAACAGAAAGTGCTTCAGGTTGGCTCTCTGGAAAAAGGCACAGCAGTCATCGTCAGCAGGGAACCCCACAAGAAGAATTTCTACTTTATTCAGAGATTCATTCAACCAAGTAAGGCCCTCAAATTTAGAGTCATGAAACAGATCTTACACAGACTTGATCATTTTAGTATTTGATGTGTTCTGAACTCTTTGCCCTTCAAAAGCACTAGAAACTCAGAGAAGTCAAGCATGACAACAGTAGTTAGTTTATGAAAAGCAAAAAGTGAAACTGATTTTTAAAACTTTTTGCTTGAAATGTTAAAACTATAAGTAAAACACACACACAAAAACCCAATGAACAAGTCGTGGTTTATAAAATAAAAACTTATCTAAAAGTTATTGTTTCTATTATCCTCTTTCTACCTCTGATGAGATAAGAAGATACACAAGATGAGAGTTTCCTTATAGATAATACCACAAATCTTACCAGATGGCTCTAAGGCTGAACCACGTTTAACGCATGGATGCCAAATCTGGAGATTGATTCCACAAACCAATAAAATTTTAAAAAAATACTGAATTACTTACACTGATTTGCCAATTTTTATTTTTTATATGTGGACATTAAGGCAAACAAACAAAAACTTCACCTTACCATCATCCAAATAATCACTTCATTAAGAAAAATATATATATTTTAACATCCCAAAACACTGAAAGGAAATAGAGTCAGAATAAAGAAATAATTTAAATTGAATCAATGTAACTTTATTTAAAAATCTCATTACAACATTTTTATTTCATTCCATTCAAGATTGGTAAGAACTTTATCACACTGGCATTGGAATTTAAGAACCACTGTTCTTAGCTCATTACACAGACTACTTATAGCAATGATATACAGTAAGCACATATAGTAATTATAATTACTTGGTATATAAAATAAAACATGCAATAAAACTATTTTCTCACTCACTTTCAATATAGTTCCATAACTTGTTCAAAGAGAACTATTTGTCCCCAACATATAATAAAACCCACATATGAAAATCCTAAAACTCACATCAAGGAGATGGTTTGCTTATGCACATTTAAAAAGTCTTTTGACCAAAGGTAGTAGCATAAATTCACATTTAATTTCTACCCTAACTAAAAAGCTGCAACGTTAAAATATATCATTTAATTGATCACTAAGCCACTTATTTGGGAGACACTATGAACTAAGAATTGTGCCATTTTGTTTACTAGCAGTGACTCTAAGTGGCCACCAGAGAAACATATTATTCAACTTAATATAATTGTGGCTTCCAACTATTTTTCCCATTTCTGTCATTAGGAGTATAGATCAGGTCGCTTCCTTTTGACAGATCTTCAGATTGATGTTTGGTTAAATTCATTGTAGATTATTGTAAGAGAATTGCAATTTGAGTTCCTATGGCGTTGGATTAGTCAAACCAAAACCTCAAATAAATGTCTACCGTAAGGTGTGAAAGAGCTTTAGTGCTCATATGTATACAGAAAAACACTTATTATAGATCTAAAGAATTTTATTCTAAAGCAGTAATAATTCTTATCTCAGCAAAGCACCCCTGAGAAAGGACAGAACACAATTTCAGCTATAGATAATTTGGATTTCTTCACATCTGTCCTAGATCTACCATTTACAACATAAAAAATCAAAATATAAGAATGCAATCTATTTCTCACGTTTTGAACTAACTCAAACATTCTCATGTCTTGTCAAACACAAGTAATTACACTTTTTTGGCTTCTTTCTCTAGAAACAAAATGTCTTTAATTTTAGTTGCCAATCAGAGGCCTAGGTCCTATATGTAAAGATTGGAGAGGGGAAAGACAAGGAAAAGCATAATTTAAAAGAGGAGTAGTGGAAGGATGAAGAAAAAAATGCAAGGTTGCAAGAGCCTTCTATGCTCCTTAAGGGCACTTAAGCCACAGACTCTCTATTCCTTTAACCCAACTATTAAGTACTACCCAAGGAAGTGAGAGAATTCTAGACCTACCAGGAGAGCGGTCATCTAAATCGAAGCTCTTGTTTTCCTGGCTTTTCCCTGGTGTTTTAGGTTTATGGGCCCCAGTCTCTGCTTCACTGGTATCATTCTGATGCACAGTTTCCTTAACCTTGGGCATCTTGATGTTATCTGGAATTGAGGTGAAAAGAGACAAGCTATTGATGGTATATGATCTGGCTCTGATGCAGGAATGAGGGGGAAAGATGGCTCTTCAACTACCATTTTGTTCCTTGATGGCTGAACTTGCTGCTCCCAGTTAAGGAGGTTATGGACAAGGGCTTCAAGGGCCTGTCATTGAAACAGCTAGGGTCCTCAAATAGCCTCGCGGGGTAAAGAGAACTTGAGACTAGTGGGGCTGCCTTTCCTGAAATCAAAGTTTAGTGTCAGGCAAGCAGAAGAAGAAATCAAGGCCCAAAGATGGGCAACGACTTGCCAGAGGATACACTGTACATGACTAACCGAGCTGGAGAGGAAACTTCCTTGACTTCGGCTCTCTTTAATTACTTCAGGAATGACGCCCTTCATCCTTAACTTTTGCCCCGGATGCCCCTTTGGTTATGAAGAGCGCTGGCCACTGGACTCAGGCAGCAAGAAACCCCCACAGCCCTTGTTCTCTCACCTCCTTCCAGTCTTCGACCCGCTGCCCAGCACCTGCATCTGCTAGTAAAGCCCCTCTGCCTAGCCAATCTGGTCTTGGGGCATACCATGGGGAACAGAGCAAGAGGGGAGATCATTGGGAAGGAGTTGGACGGAACCATAGAGATGATGAGATTTACATGCAGTGCACCCCTGCTAACGACTCTAGGTAGAAGAGTCCAAAAACTGAAAACAAAGGGTGGAGAGAGCAGGAGAGGCAAGCAGAGGTGTACCGTTGGGCGATAGAGGAGGGAGGCGGAGGTTCTCCAAGAGGAGGCTTTGAGCTCTTACCCGTATTTGTAGTTTCAAAGACCCTCCAGAGCTTGGTATTAATCTTCTCAAGTCCAATTCCTCCCCTATGGGCTAGGAGCTATCTAAAGTTATTACCCTCTGTCCCCAAGGGGATAAACCATTTAAATACTCATTTCATACTGTTCATGTAACCTTAGAAATGAGGAACCAACAGGGTTACAGAATTCCTAAATTGTTTTGAGGTTTTCTTTTTTTATTTTGTTTTAGTGAATTCTCCACAAATGTGAAGGAGACAAATAAGCTGTTAAACTCTCATTTTACAAATCTAAAAAAACAAGAATCATTTTAAAGGTCTGGCCTCAATAAACTGGTGATGGGGCACGACCACATGTCTGAGGGAGCTTAGGTTTGGTTGGTTCTTCCAACTGAATTTCTAGCATGTTCTTCATTACAATTCAATTTTGAGCCTTGGAGATCATCTAGAACCTGAGGGTGCGGGAATAGATGACTCTAAGGGTCCTCATGTTTCTCAATCTTTACTCTCAGTCTACTTTTTCACTCTACTTCTGGATTGGCCCATTTTAAATTTTTGTGGGCGGTGTGTGTGTGTGTGTGTGTGTGTGTGTGTGTGTATACATACACAGACACATACACATATTCATATGCATATACATATACGATGTTTCTAAACTATTCTATCTTTTATCTTGACTTAATTTTTAACCCATTAACTTTTTTTTCATAAAACGACTGTAATTTGACCAAATTCTCATCTCAAATCTTTGTTAGTATCAATAGTGAAATGTGGATATTTTGCACATGTGTATTTTGAAAAAGAATATTTTAGAGGAGAGGTCCAAGAACTTTCCTGACTAAGGAAACTTCATGCCATCCTCCAGATACAAGAAGATATAAGGGGTCTTGGCCAGTAAAGTTACTGCTTAGCTAAAGTGTGTACAATACTAATAAATACTAAATCTGAATAACTTCCTTATCCTCTCCTGATATCTGCCTCAGTAATGTCAACTGTGAAACAAAATGCTGTCACACAAAACCCAGGAGAAATGGTTAAATATATTTTTTCTTGATTTGAACATCAAATTTTGCATTCATAAAAGTATGTTTCACTATATCAGATCATTTCTTTTAAAAATCAAATTTCTACCTGGTTTGTTTCTAAGAGAAACAATCCAATGACACTATTTTTCATCACAAAAATTGCATTGTTTAAAAAGCTCCCCTCAGTGATTCCTGAAATTCTATTACTACTAAATTCATGTAAGTTAAACTGTCTTTCAAAAAATATAGACTATATTTTATAGAGCATTTTCAAGTTTACAGTAAAATTAAGCAGAAGGTAGAGAAATTTCCCTTAAGCCTCCAGCTCCTTTCATATATAAAATAATCCAAAAGTCACTGGAGCAATAAAGGACTTCATTCAGGCAACAGTTTGCAAACTAGGGAGACACAGTCTACAATAGAAACCAAGTGTACTCCACTGAAACAAAGGAGAGATAGAGCCTTTTATAGAGAATTTTCCCTCCCACTATTTCCATTTTGGTCTGTTTCATGTAAATGAGGTTTCCAAATCATACAGTTCTGATTGGTCCAAATCATGCAGTTGTGGTTGGTCAGTATAGATGCAAATGAGGATACAATTTATATAGTTATGATTGGACAGGGAAGATCTCAGTCCATTGGTAGAAATACGAACCAGGGCTTCCCCGTAGTGGTTGATTCAGACAATGTAAACAAATTAAGTCATAGCATAGAAAACAGAAGAGTTCAGTCTGAGGTTCTTTCCAGTATACAGAGTACGTCAGCAAATGGCCACTAAGATTTAATTATAAAATTTAAGCCCTTGGTTGACCATTGGAGTCCATCTCAGCAGATAAATTCCTTCTTGGGGTTCACATCAAATGAATCTTTCTTCTCGGGGTCCACACATGCATAACCTCTCCCATTATCAACATCCCCTACCAGAGTGGCACACTTGTTACAATTGATGAACTTATATGGACACATCATTATCACTTAGACTCCAGAGTTTACATTAGGTTTCGCTCTTGGTGTTGTACATTCTATGGTGCTGGGCAAATGTAAAACA